GTTTCTACAAGTGACAATCAAAAGAAATTCCAATCCATCATCGAAACTGTACTAAAAGAACGGGGAAAAGGATGGAACATTGAGCAGAATCGAAAAACGGATGAAGATACTGAGGAGAAAAAGCGGTAGTTTCCCGATTTTAGATATTTACTTCAGCGCCAAATTAGGAACACTCAACTGAATAAAAGAGGAGAGAAACATCACTCGGCATCAAAATCAACTTCAGAGAGAAAAGAAACAAGAACAAGTCAACAAGAAATACTAAGGAATTGAGTTATGGAGGTTTACAAGGTAAAAAAATTAACCATGGCTATTGTAAAACGTTTTTATAGAATTCAATCATTTCTTTATTTTTAATTCCTCAGTTGGGTATTTTATTTTATGTGGTTTTACCTGGCAAGATGGCAGACTTTTTGATCTTTTCTAGTTGAATTATTTATAAAGATTACTCAAATGTAATAACAATAAATGTTTCTTTTTTGATGGTGTTCGTTCTGATGCAGTTTAACAATGTCAATTGTGTTATACAATGTTGTTAATAAGTTGACAAAGGATCTCGATGTTTTAGGTTCTCGTCGTTATCCTCGCAATTTATCTTCACCATGGAAATTGCCGGGCATCTGCATTAAACAAAATCGTCCGTAGAATTCAAGATGGCGGAGTCCAGTCCAAGCTGGGTGCTGCCGCATGGAGACAAAAGAGGTCCCCTGGTGACGAGCCCGGTTGTTACACTGGCACGTATGCGTCACTCACTTTGCAAAGCAACAGAACAGTTACTGTTCCTGTTTGTAAGACAATTACGTCTTACAAAACTGCATGTTTCAGTTCGATGGCAAACAACAACAACCAGAGGAAATGTGTTCCGTCTCAGATAGTCACAATGGAAGGAATGGCGTTTAACACAGCCTGTTCATGTGCACCATAGGATACTTAAAAACCAAACCGTTTGGACTCGTGTATGTACCAGGGTCTGTCAGGAACACAATGACTATAATTATATCGAGTAGCAACTGCTGTTGAAAACTGCTGCATTATTTATCATTATATCATGTATATGCCGCGTATTTTTTTGTATGTATTTATAACCTTATCCAAATTCAAGTGAGGCTTGATGGCCGTCCTTGTCAACCGTTTTCACAAAACCGTCAATAAAGTTTTTAAATCTGCAGTCGTTATATTCCAAGTAATTTTACTGGATCAATTAAACATGTTGACCTCACTGGTTAGGGCGGTGGATTCTAGGTTGGAAAGTCCAGGTTTACAGCCTTGCGGTATCACTGTGTTGTGCTCCGAGGCGAAACACTTTACTCTCACAATGCTTCTGTCCACCCAAGAGTTTTTTTGATCATATATCATTGAATTATCCTGCAGGGAAGCCGGATGAAATGTTGGGGAGTTACCTTGTAACCTCGTGATGGACTGGCATCCCATCCATGGGGGAGTAATGACTTTTCTTGTTGCCTCATGCAACGCGGAAACCGGGATAAACTCCGGCTGTATGGGCCACCGTAAACTCCGGCTACATGGGCCACTTGGCTCGAATACAAACTAAACCTTTGTTAATGATATATCTTATTATATGAGAAGTAAGTCTTAAGGCAAATCCGAGCGTTCTGATTGGTTCTTGCTTGGTCCATATTTTGCCATACGATCCGTAAGGACCGTTTGTACTGGGAAACTACCGCTTTTCTCCCTGGGTCTCTTTATCCTTTCAAGGTTCCATTCAGTTTCGATGAGGGATAAGAAATTCATAAGACTGTTTGGAAACTGATTTGATAGGATCAGCAAATACAATTGTTCTATTTTAAGGGAAAGAGGAGTATTAACGGCGTTGCATTTTATTGTCAGAAATCTGTTCGGTTAATAGTTATTTTATAGTTTCTTTTTCTATATGAGAAGCTGCTGCGTGGAGAAATTTTATGTTGAATCACATGAGGAAGGAAAATCAAGTTCATCAGCTGTTTATTCTATTTGTTCATTACTTCTAACAGTTAAAACGAAATCCTTCTATCATTGACCGAAAAATTGAAAACAATTTTTGTGGCATATTACTCATTTCATTAGCTGCTATCAAGGAAAAAGGTTGTATGATACCAAAATAATTTGAATAAGTCTGAAAGGAGACAGAGAGAATGTTTAGATTTATGTCATATGACCATCAGATAATAGCAAGTAAATGACGTAATTCTTGGAAGAAATTGAAAGTCATGTTACCTTAAAATCTACAAGGATATAATTACAACAGCACGAAAGCGTACTTAAGTAACATGAACCTTGATAAATATTCGTTCAGTGACAAATGCATTATCATATTTATCAAAACAGTGTTACAGTGATTTTCAGTAAAACGGTCTAAGACAGGGTCACATAGATGAAATTCCATTTTCTAAAATAACATGAGCTAAACACAAAACAAGGAATACGAATAATTTTGATAGGGAGTTAAACCCCGTGTTTCAATAAGATGATGTTTGGTTTTTTAGACTTCATTGAATTCAAGGAGGTTTTCGAAAGTGTAGCAAGTAAAAACTGTAAGACCTCGGTAGCTTTGCTAAAGAGAGAACTTCCTAAAACTATTTAGCGTCCGGCATAAATACAATACTACGAAGGAAAGCTGTGGCGATTGTGATAAGTGACAAATGATCTCTCCTTTTGGCATCCATGACGGGACCTCTTTCGAAATCGTGTTTCCCGTTTTAAATCATATAAACGTTGCTCCAAACTATTTCAGAATATATTCAGAGCCCAAAGAGAAAGTAATGTTTATAGTATTAGAGGAATTAATAGGTACTCTTTCTCATTTACCGCTCCCTGGACAATACCTGATCGCAGACGCCCACTCACTGCTTGGAGCACATGATTTTAAAGTTTCTGAGTATTTGATAGAGAGAAAATGTTTTAGTCCGTTTTTAATTCAGCTTATGTGGTATATACAAAAACAATTTTTCACCTCAGTGTCGGTGGAAATGCTTATCCTGTTATTGCAGTTTTACGTCATCAGTTTTTTGCCTGTTTGCTCTATCTCTGCACTTTATTGTGGTTACTTTCTCGCTGCTGAAGATGGATTTCATTACAGCATTTGAAATGGTGTACCACGTGCTAAAATGTGTTATATTTTCAATTTTGTTGTGCTACAGTTAATTTTTTCAGCTAAAATGTTGCATTTGAAATAGTAGTTATGGGGAATTCGCTAGTTTTGTCAACGTGTGTTGAAAATTGAAAGTTGATGTGTAAATGGTTTGATGACAGGTAAAAAACCTCTTCATCTTACATATATTCTAATGAGGTAAAATCTAGTACCTCGTTTTAGTGTACGTAGATATACCATGATACATCAGAATTTTTTGTGCCGAAAAACTAGAGAATGGTGAGCGTTTCACCATTCACTCATCAATCTGACAGAGTGAAGCGAAGGGCGAGTGACGTGTCAGCAACTGATTGGCGATATCAAACACAAGTTGAAAATTATCCTAACTTGGGACGTGTACTGTTGGGTCTTTTCACAGGCCCTGAAATCGTTGTAAAACAGGGTAATGTATGCGATAAAAGCTGTTAAAGGTGTCGATGAAAAGAAAATGTTTCTTTCTCAGAAGACAAATCTTTCATATCTATTTACCTTTTTAGCCCTTGTTATTGTTAGCTTATACCACAACATAAGTTTGTTAATTAGTACAGAGGCCATGTTCCCGGAAATCGCGCGCGCTTATTCGCCTGATTACGGGATTTTTATGCGCAGTACAGGATACGTAAGGAAATACTATGGAATCACCTCAAGGACCTGAAGGTTACGTGTAAACGACAGAGAATTAAAGTCAGCAATTTTTTTTTAATATGGGTAAGTTCTTAAAAATACATATATATAAGTATGAAACGTACAGATGATGCAATGATAAATATTGAAATGTTCGATATAAATTTAGTCCTTGTGTTCCAGACACATTGTAGAGTAAAGGCGTTTCTAGCTTTAAATATCCTATGGTGCGCATGAACAGGCTGTGTTAAACGAAACTCCTTCCATCGTGATCGTACGGGACGGAACACATTTCCTTTGGTTGTTGTTGTTTGCCATCGAACTGAAACATGCAGTTTTGTAAGACGTTACTGTCTTACAAATCGGAACAGATACCTTGTTGTTGCTTGGCAAAGTGAATGACACAACTCTGCCAGTGTAACAACTGGGCTCGTCATCAGGGGACCTCTTTTGTCTCCATGCGGACGTGTCTAGCATGGACGGGACTCCGCCATCTTGAGCTCTACGCCCCATTTTATTAAACCAAGTTGCCCGGCCATTTCCACGGTGAAGGAAAATTGCGAGCATAACGATGAAAACCTAAAGAATATAGATCTTTTATCAGCTTATTATCAACAGCATATATCTTACAATCGATTTGATGGTAAAACTGCAGCTGAATGATGATTCATTAAGTCATTTGACCAGAAAAAGTCAGAAAGTGTTCGTTGTTGTCATGCAAATCCATTTAGAAAAATATCTAGCTGTGGGATGATATTTAGAAATAAGAAGAATTCTCATGCATACGTTTAACAAGAAGTAAGGTACATTCTTTTACCATGTAAACTTCCATGACTCAATTCCTTAGCTAATGTTTCTTGTTAGCTTCTGCAAAGAGTCTTCACAACCTGTTTCTTTTTCTTCTTGAAAGTGGATTTTGATGCCGAGGAAAGTTTCTCTTCTTTTAAATACAATTCAGTGTTCCTAATTTGGCTCTGATGTAGATATCTAAAATTGGATGACTACCGCTTTTCTTCCTGAGTTTCATGTTGTTTTGGTACAGTTTCGATGATGAAGTAGAACTTCTTTGATTTATCTTATAACAGGAGTTTAAAAACGTCTTTCTAAAGAAATTTATCAGAAATCCGTTTGGAAACTTATTAGATAATACAGCAAATAAAATTGTTCTATTTAAAAAGATAAAGGAATGCTAATAGCGTAACATTTTACTATTAGAAACGTGTTTGTTTTAACGAATCCATGAGCACATGGAGAAATTCTATGTTGCATTGCAGGAGAAATGAAAATAATGTTAATCCTCTATTTGTTCATTCATTTTGACAGTTCACACAAAATCCAGGTATTATCGACTGAAAAATTGAAAAGAAAATTTAAAAGTACATGAAGCAACACCTGGTCGAAGCGTACTTAAGTAAAAGGAATTCTTTATTCGCTCAGTGATAAATGCAGAATCATATTAACCAAAACAGTGCTATGGTGATCTACAGTAAAACGGCATGAAACAGTCTCACATAAATGAAATGCCATTTTCTGGGGTATCATGAGCTGAACACAAAAAGAGGAAAACGAATGTTGGGTTTTTCAGACGTCATTAAAGACGGTTTCCGAAAGTGTAGCAAATAAAAAATGGAAAACTATAATAGCTTACGTCATCAGTTTTTTGCCTGTTTGCCCTTTCTCATCCACTTTATCATTGTTCTTTTTCGCAGTTAATACATCACTACAGCATTGAAATAGAATACCAAATGGTTAAGTGTGACAAATTTGCAATTCCGTTGTTCTGCTGTTATTTGTTTTGAAATTGTAATTATTAAGGATTTGTTAGTTGTATCAACGTGGGTTGGAAGTTGTATCCTGATATGTAGATGTTTTGGTGACAGGTTAAAAACCTCAGTCTACATCTTTTACATATTCTAAAGGGTAAAAACTTTAGCCCCTAATTTTAATTTAAGTAAACATCTTCTAATACATCTTTTTTTCCTCAGAAGCCGGAAAAAAAGATGTTAAAGTTGTCGATGAAAGGAAATATTCCTTTTTCAAAATGTAAGAGGTGAACCCTCCTGGCGTGAATCAAGAAAAATCTTGCATCGCTTTTTACTCTTTTATTCCTTGTTATACCAGTCCTTCCTCTATTAATCCGCGGTTTCCTAATCCACGTTTTGCTACTACGTGTGTTCCTCATCCTTAGCAGTCAACGTTTTACTAAGGATTCCTCTATAACTGCAATTTCAAAACAAATAACATTTTACCCGAAAAAACATAACTGCAGAACAACAGAATTGCAAATTTGTCACACTTAACCATTAATTTTTTGGTACTCTATTTCAATGCTGTAGTGATGTATTAACTACGAAAAAAGGACCACGATAAAGTGGAAGAGATGAACAAACAGGCAAAAAACTGATGACGTAAAAATATACTCTGAAATGAATTTAGATTCGAGTTAAAATAGTTCAAAACGGGAATCACGATTTCGAAAGAGGTCCTCCGTGTCACGGAGTCAAGGAGAGATCATTTGTCACGTATCACATTCGTATCACAACTTTTCTCTTCAGTATCATTTTTAACTCTTCTGGGAAGTTCTTTCTTTGGCTAAGCTACCATAGTCTTCCATTTTTACTTGCTACACTTTCGAAAACCCCCTTTAATGACGTTTCAAAAACCCAACATTCGTTTTCCTCTTTTTGTGTTCAGCTCATGATATCCAAGAAAATGGCATTTTGTGTGAACTGTAAGAATAAATGAACAAATAGAGGATTAACATGATTTTCATTTCTCCTGCAATGCAACATAGAATTTCTCCATGCGCTCATGGATTCTTTAAACCGAACACGTTTCTAATAGTAAGATGTTACGGTATTAGCATTCCTTTATCTCTTAATATAGAACAATTTTATTTGCTGACTCTATCTAATAAGTTTCCAAACGGATTTCTAATACATTTCTTTAGAAAGACGTTTTTAAACTCCCGTTATAACATAAATCAGAGAAATTCTACTTCATCATCGAAACTGTACCAAAACAACATGAAACTCAGGAAGACAAGCGGTAGTCATCCAATTTTAGATATCTACATTATAGCCAAATTAGGAACACTGAATTGTATTTAAGGGAAGAGAGAGTTTCTCGGCATCAAAATCAACTTTATACAAGAAAAAGAAACAAGTTGTGAAGGCTTTTTGCAGAAGCTAACAAGAAACATTAGCTAAGGAATTGAGTCATGGAAGTTTACATGGTAAAACAACGTACCTTAATTCTTGTTAAACGTATGCATGAGAATCCTTCTCATTTTTAAATACCATTCCGCAATTAGATATTTTTCTAAATTGATTTACATGGCAACAACGAACTCTTTCGGACTTTTTCTGGTCAAATAATGTAAAACACTTTTGGAAAGAAAAAAAGTACTTTAATGATCATCATTCAGCTGCAGTTTTACCATCAAATCAATTGTAAGACATATACTGTTGATAATAAGTTGATAAAAGATCTATATTCCCTAGGTTCTCATCGTTATCCTCGCAATTTTCCTTCACTGTGGAAATGGCCGGGCAACTGGGTTTAATAAAATGGGGCGTACAGCTCAAGATGGCGGAGTCCCGTCCACACCAGGTGATGCCGCATGGAGACAAAAGAGGTCCCCTGATGACGAGCCCAGTTGTTACACTGGCAGAGTTGTGTCATTCACTTTGCCAAGCAACAACAAGGTATCTGTTCCGATTTGTAAGACAGTAACGTCTTACAAAACTGCATGTGTCAGTTCGATGGCAAACAACAACAACCAGAGGAAATGTGTTCCGTCCCGTACGATCACGATGGAAGGAGTGTCGTTTAACACAGCTTGTTCATGCGCACCATAGAATATTTAAAGCCAGAAACTTCTTAACTTCGGCTACAATATGTGTCTGGAACACAAGGACTAAAGTTATATCGAACATTGCAATATTTATCATTGTATCATTTGAACGTTTTATATTTATATATATGTATATTTACGAACTTATCCATATTAAAAAAATTCCTGACTTTATTTCTCTGTCGTTTGCACGTAACCTCCATATCCTTAAGGTGATTCCTTAGTATTTCCTTACGTATCCTGTACTGCGCATAAAAATCTCGTAATCAGGCGAATAAGCGCGCGCGGTTTCCGAGAAATGGCCTCTGCACTAATTAACTAACTTATGTTGTGGTATAAGCTAACAATAACAAGGGCTAAAAAGGTAAATTGATATGAAAGATTTGACTTAATCAACTCCAGTAGAGTTTACCTTAAAATACAATTTTTACTTCTGTGAAAGAAATATTTTCCTTTAATCGACACCTTTAACAGCTTTTATCGCATACACTGCGCTGTTTTATAACGATTTCTAGGGCCTGAGAAAAGCCCCAACAGTACACGTCTAAAATTAGGATAATTTTCAATTTTTTTTTGACACGGTACTGTCCTTTCAACACACGTTGACAAAACTAGCAAATTCCCCAAAACCACTATTTCAAATACAATATTTTACCTGAAAAACTTAACTGTAGCACAACAGAATTGAAAAAATGACACATTTTAGCACATGGTACTACATTTAAAATGCTGTAATTAAATACATATTCAACGGCGAATAATAATAACCACGATAAAGTGGCAGAGATGGAGCGAACAGGCAAGAAACTGATGACATAAAAATACAATAACCAGATAAGCATTTCCACCGACACTGAGGTGAAAAACTGTTTTCGTCTATACCGCATAGGCTAAACATCATTTTCTTTCTATCACATGCTCAGAAACTTTAAAATCACGTGCTCCAAACAGTGTGTATGAGCCTGCGATCAGGTGCCGCAAAAGGAGCGGTATTTGAGAGAGAGCACCTATCAGTTCCTCTAACATAAGCATTACTATCACTTTGGGCTCCGAATATATTCTGAAATAATTTGGAGCAATGTTTATATGATTTAAAAAGGGAAACACAATTTCGAAAGAGGTCCTGTCACGGATGGCAAAAGGAGAGATCATTTGTCACGTATCACAATCGTATCACAACTTTTCTTAGTGGTATTGTATTTATTTTTGACATTTGATACTTATAGGAAGTTCTCTCTTTAGCAAAGCTATCAAAGTCTTCCAGTTTTTACTTGCTACACTTTCGAAACCCCCTTAAATTAAATGAAGTCTTAAAAAAACCAAAGATCAACTGGTTGAAACGCGGGGTTGAGGTCCCTGTCAAAATTATTCGTATTCCTTTATTTGTGTTCAGCCTATGCTATCCCAAAAAATGGCATTTCATCTTTGTGACACTTTTTCACATCGTTTTACTATAAATCACTATAGCGCTGTTTCGGTAATTGTGATTATGCATTTATCACTAAACGAATCTTAATCAAGGATTCATGTTACTTAAGTACGTTTTCGTGCTGCTGTAATTATATCCTGGTAGATTGAAAGGTATCATTCCTCCTGATTTCTTCCCAGAATTGCGTCATTCAATCGTTATTATCTGATAGTCGTATGACGTGATTCTAAACATTCTCTCTGTCTCTTTTCAGATTTATTCAAATCATTTCAGTATGATTCAACCTTTTTTCCTTTGATAGTAGTTAGTGAAATGAGTAATATGCCACGAAAATGGTTTTTCAAATTTTTGGTCAATGATAGAAGGATTTTGTGTTAACTGATAGAATTGATGAACAAATAGAACCATAAGCTAATGAACTTGTTTTCTCTCCTAGTTTTATGCAACGTAAAATCTCTCCACGCAGCAGCTTCTCATACAGGAAAAGAAATCATAAAATAGTTATTAACCAAACAGATTTCTAACAATAAAATTTTGTGCCGTTGAT